CTGGGTGAGTGATGGCTTTACTGATAAAATAAGAAACATATTTATTAGCTCCTTAAGGGCTGTGAATATTTACTTTCAGGGTACATTATGTTCTTTATCATTCAATCATTCAACATTAAACAACACTTGATGAAGGTGAAATACATTATCATCATCAATCATCATGTCACATAATTTCTTTGCATTGCCTCGTGAATAATGTGTTCATGAAATGATACCATCTCATACTATAAGTCTAACGAATGTTAAATTATTATGGTTTGGTTGATAGGACACATTTTCTAAATAATAAAACATTTATTTTGATGTTTTGTTCATCATGTTGGATCGTTTCATTGCCGCACTACATGCTGTGCCTACAACTGTCTCCAAAGTGTCCAAATTCTCTACAGTGAAGCAGACCAGTAAAATGCTGCTGCTTGAACCTATTTCCTATAAATATATTAGCAGCACCTATCAAGGCCGAGTCCAGTTGTGATTCATTATCTGGGTAGATTGATCTTGATATTAAGTAATAGGTAATAACTTTAAAATCAAACAATTAAATTGTTAGATTCTACAGTAATATTAATTTAAATAACAAAGAATTATGATGTAATTGCTTAATGTATCTGCAAACAAGTTTATGCTTTATACCCCATTAAACTGTTAGTTAGTCAAAAATAGGCCCACAGATCTAAATTTGGTGGAAGGTTAAGCCATGGATCAACAAATTAAGTTCTGATACCGATTTAGATAGAAGTGTAGATGCAAGAATTTTATCATCTCAATACAAGAAAGGTTGCATTTCTGAACATTTTGGCTATTTTCTCATGAATTACTGCACTTGAAGAAAAGTAAAGATATATGGATAAAAATGTATCCCATGATAATTTGTCACTATCTGTATTGTGATCTGAATCCTAGTGCAGATTTTCTATTTTATTAAATTTTTTTATTTATAGGCTAAATGCTTTTGGCATGAACTCACTGCGTATTCACTGCTTCACGTATAACTACCTTTAACTGTGCCTATTCATTACTTTAACATTAGTGTTATGTGTTGCAATTTCACATTGATATCATCAGAGCCTCTCAACAAACACCTGAAAACAAACAGGGAGCAGGGTGGGTGGTGGCAGCACACCTTCAGTTTCAGATGTGAACCTCCCAACAATGGTCACCCTCAGGCATCCTGTGCAGGTGTGACCTGGATTTGATAAAAAAACTTAACTTCTTACCCAGTGCAAATAAAGCCAAAGCTGCCCAGGTGCAGCTTTTGTTTGTGTGTGACTTTTGGCAGTGAAGCAGCTTTCGCAACAGGGCCAGGGAAGTAAATTTACAATGAAGGCAAGGCACTGCAAGATTTACAAGTTCAGCTGATCAGAATGATACTGGAGGGCTCCTTCTGTAGACTGAAAACAGTGCTGATGAGAAGAAAAAAGATTCACTGTTTTAAACGCAAAATGGGCTTCAATTCCCAGTACACCTTTGCTTATATCCCAAACAAAGGGAAACAGGAGGGGGGCAGGGACCTTTCACAAAGGGAAGATGAGCTCTGTTCATCAAGAGTCATGTCTGCTGTCAATCTTTTGTAATGCCACATGGGGCAGGACAGATGAGACAGAATAACCTGACAAGTGTATTAACTGACAGGTGTAATTTCAACCTGACTTGAAAGGCTGAGCTTGACATGAAAGGAGGACAAAAGAGTGACCCCCTCTGATGAATGAGACGGAAGATGACAATGAATATGTCATCCATTTAAAGGAAGGCCAATAAGTCAGCTTTAAGTATTTTCTTTTCCTCGCCCATTGTGCACCTAAAATGGATGATTTCTGGTGTCCTAACAGTCCTTCACAACAACGATGAGACCCTTTATGATAAATCAAGTAGGTGATACTTGAGACAGTATCAGCAAACAGTGGCTGAGTTTACAATTAAAAAGGCAGAATTTGAAATGGGTTAAAAACCTACTTATCACGTAGATTTGATCATGAAGAAAGACTGGCTGATACGTTTTTAAAAAACTGGTGTGTCTGTTACAGTATGAACGATGAAATGACTTAAATTCCTAAAATAACAATAATGTGCAAACATAAAAATAATGGAAAAAAGGGGAGAAAAAAAACACTTGTAGGACAAGGACTGCTTTGCATTAGAGTGCAGATATGAGGACCTGGAATGTGTTAGTGCGACTGATCCTCAGGTTGGAGGAGCGTGGAAGATAGGAGCTTGAGAGTGTGTTTGAAAAGGCCCTCGGAAAGCCCACATTGAACAGTGTGAAAGATACCATACGTACGCTGGGTGGTCTTATTATTGAACCTTATCAAAGATTAACATGGGTAACATGACACTTACATAAAGAGGATTTTCGGTGCAACAGAGAGCAGAGGGAGGAAATCCAAACCACATCCAACTTCTTCATGCTGCTTAATTGTTTGCAATTTTTAGCAGATGTTAGTACAAAAAAAACTGCATGTGTAACATATGTATAAATACTCAATGGAAGGATCTATGCATACCAGCAAATTTCAATTACAATATTAAAAATATACATACAGCACAATATGAATGTAAAGTACGTATAAAACGAGGTACAACACATGTTTTACTGTATGTCCACACATGTGCAAATGTTGTCTGGAATACATCTGTCTAATGTAAATAAACCAATGAGGTCAAGCCTTGTCAAACTGTATAAAGATTACCTGTTACTTAAACAGTTTCAAAGACCAGAGGTATAAAGCGCACAAATGTGGGTTCAATTTTAAACAGAGCGGGGCTGAAAGGAAAATAAACATCTTCCCGATCCAATTTTTCTGCAAAGGAAGCTCTTGAGAGATGAAAACTAAGAAGAGGTGGGAAAATATAACGTCAGCAAAACAATGTTGGTAATACACAACATGATATTTTGCTTGTTTTTATTCTGGCTCTCCTTTCTGTATACAGGAAGAGATATTTTAAATCACTTAATTTTTCACTGGAGGTTTCTTTGAAAGGAAAACCTCAAGTTATATCTCTCAAATGGCTTAAGTTAAGAAGGGCTGAAAGAAAGGAAGGGGCTTTTGTATGGTACTGTTTACACAGTGAACATCCAGTGGGAAAACTTCTGGTGTTGCTACCTCTACTCCCCTCCATGCATTTCATGTGATCTCATAATTGCAAAGCCCACAGGGGCAGGTAAACAGGGGTCAAACAAAACTCCTTTTTTCCTACTCCAGCATCTCGTAAATTAATCATTTGAATTCTATCAACACGAACACTCCCTGCAGAACAATGCTACATGTGCTGCAATGCTACAGTCCCTCAAATGGTACACATTCCATTCATCACATACTGTAAGTAGAGACAGAGAATTGTTTTTGAAGTAATGTTTGTAGTAAAACCAGCCAGCCTCATGGTCCGAGTTACAATCTCTCCCTGGTGCATCACAGTTTAATTAAGCATGCAGGCTTTGTCCATGAACACCTCACTGTAGGGCTGACTTATCAGCTTAGCTATAACCATAGCTGAGGGTTGAAGCATAGATAGACTGGTAAATTGAGAGTTCAGCCCAAAGCCATGGCCGACAACATGACGCCTGCACCACTGCCAATGCTGCACCAATACGCCTTTTGATCTCTCCCTCCATCTAACCCTCATTCTTGAACGAGACCTAAAAATAGGATTGAATTCCTGCACTTAGGGCAGCAACTCGCTCCCAAACCAAAGGAGGCATTTTCTGACTATGTTCTAGCAGAGTACCTCAGACTTGAGGAGGTGTGGACTTTCATTCCAACTGCTTCACACTGTGTTGCAAGCTGCCTGAGTGTGTGCTGGAGGTCGCGGTCTGATGTGGTTCTCTCTAATCACAGAATCTGTGACGAGGCCCCTGCACTCTATTTTCCCTCCTGTAAGCCACACAAGAAACCCCTATATTGTCCTAAGACTTGTCCTCATACACAAAGCAAGTGTAGAGGCACTGTGCAAACCCCCATCTTCCAGTCCTGTCCCCCACCTCTGTGTAACATTAAAGAAGTATGCCAACTACAACAGCCCAACAAGACTCAGAGCCTTCAGCATTTCAAAGCTCTACATCCCTGCCACCTTACCACAGCAAAGCTTTTAGATAACCTCAGTGATCTCTGTCAGAGAGATGGGCAAGGGAGTACTTATCTCTCAGCTCTCAGTCAGGCATCTACTTGGCACCTCTCAAGTTTGGCAACTATGGAAAATGCAGTACACAGACATGACCCCAACTATGTCTAGTTGATACTTCTCTAACACCTGGACCAACTTACGACTCTTTAAGGTGAAGCTTCACATCCCAAAAGACATATTTTGTAGCCAGGGATGAGTTACCAAGGCCTCCACTAAGAATACACCTGACCCTTAGACCTCTTACAGGAGATGATATATATTCCAAAAGTGTCTCTGTACTACATTGGGGGTCTGGCAAAAGCAGACATGTGCACACATGTCTGTTGGTGTGTACAGGATGTGCATACAGCTGACCACAGACACTGACAGATAAGGAAATTTACATTTTTTTAGCCATCTATCAATTGTGCCTTAGCGCTCTCTTCATTTAACTTCATTGTCTATATTTACAGTTTCAAGAACAAAAAGAAAATGTGTTTTCATACAAGTAAATTAAGCACTTATTCAGTGTTAATACTATGTATGTCACTGTGGTTATAAAGAATAACAGGTGCTAGTTCTCAACAATTCAAATGTTAAACAGTTTAGATAAGGCTCATATAGAGACACTCAAAGGAGGCCCCTGTTTTGTAGAAATCATCTTAGTGGTTTAATCCGAGACGCACACCTAGGGCAAGGTAGTTGCAGTTTGGTAAACGTGGTTTTATGGATGGATGAGGGCCGGGCAGCTGGCTCTCATGGTATTTGGGGAGGGACGGGGGGGCATTTCCAGTCAACTTGACACAGTATGGATTTTGTTCCCATCTTAATGGAATTGCAGAAATATTTGAGGGGAATCCCATTACGTAGCAATTGGAGTGCTGTAATAATGTACTCACAGTCATTTTCCCACTGCGGTTGGCCTCCTCTCGCTCTGCCAGGGCCTGCAGGAAGTTATCTTTGAGTTCTTTTCCTGCACTTGCCAATGTCCTGGAAAAGACAACACTCAAACGGTTTGAAATGTTTCTCTTAACCCCAAAAAAAAGAAAGTCACATGAAGCCTTAAAGCTTCTTTATGAAAGGTTTTCACCCTTGAACATACTTTAGGCTACTCTGGCCAATCTCTGCTCTAACATTAATAATGAACTATGTTATTAATATTACTTGAAATGGGTTGAGTAAAATTTTGCTGTGACATACTTTGACATTGCAGAAGAGAGAGAAAGAGAGAGAGAGAGAGAGAGAGAGAGAGAGAGAGAGAGAGAGAGAGAGAGAGATAGATAGATAGATAGATAGATAGATAGATAGATAGATAGATAGATAGATAGATAGATAGATAGATAGATAGATAAATATGTTTTTGCTTAATTAAAGTGTACAATTGATAAAATATTCAAATATATATATATTCAACATTGAACAGAAAGCGAGCGTACCACACAATCAGTTATGAGGTAGACTCAAGTAAACATTCAGTACGTCAGTACACAGCGCTTCACCAAAGCTGCCAAGCTCCCACGACACTCCCAAATACTCCAAATACCATTTCTGAACAGAAATGATGATGAATATGATAAGTTGTTCATGTTTTCACTCTGTAAGTTATCTATAAACTACAAACATCAACAAAGTGTCACAGCTGCTTTTGCTAAAATGCACAGCAATATTAATCATATCAGAGTTTAATGACTTTATATGACACTGTGGCAGCTTTTTACACTTTGGCTGGCCTGTTTCCATGGAAACATGGTTTTGGCACACACTAATGTATCCACACCTGAAACAACATTGGCACTAATATTTGAACAGTTAACACTGCAGTACGAGCAACAGAACTCTGGCATGCATTCAGAATTGACTGTGCAAAACATTCATCAGATCCACACCGAGTTAACATCTTAAAGGCAGTAAACACCTCATTGGTAACCTCTCTGTTGTGGTTCAGAGTGCAGAAGAAGTAAGACCGCTCATTAAATCAAAGTTGCAGTACAGTTGAAAACACCACTGTCTCTATTGACTTCAGTTATCTGAAATGATAATCTGCATTGAATATTTTAGATTATACATGTTTTTGTAAAGTGTCCACAAATTTACAGTCCTTTTTCTCTTTTCCAAATAATTAAATGAAGGCTGAACTATATGATCATTTTCACCTAAAAGATTTTATATACACTTTATATACAGTTTCATCCTTGTACATTACTTTTTACCTGATAAGCACTGCCGTATTTGCAGTCATATCGTGTAAGCCCTTTTTAACACACGTGTGGGACCAACTGACCTGCTTGCTTGAGATGGGCATTGATCGAGTGCACAAGAACACTTGGACCCAAAATCACAGTAGTACTAGTACCAGTACTAACACAATACTCACTTTGTGATAGTATTGTGACTGAATATATTGTGACCTCAGCTTGCAAGAAAGCTGTACAATAGCTTTAGCTAAATGAAGAACAATTGGAAACCTTGGGATTTGAATCAGGAAGATCTCATCATAAACAAAATTCCTTACAGATATTCAATGTGTTTTTGATACTCAATGCTATGGATAGAATTACTCTATCAAAATAGTACAGCGGTTCAATACTTGAATATCCTTCACAGAGGTTGTGCAAGGAAGTAGTAATCCCAAACCTCCCTGCAAACACCTGTGAGTTTGACCCAGCAGTCCCCCAGTTATAAATCTGTTCCCTGAATATTCAAACTGCTGAATCCAGTTCTGTCTGCTTCACCGTCCAATGAGAAGACAAGTTCAGTTATATTCTACATTAACGGCTCCTCAAATCCACTTTCCATCCCCAAAGCGCTTTAAAAAACCACAACGCCAAAGCCAATTTCTGCTCTTAGTCTAGCTTAACATTATAGTAAAAGAGAACAGGATCTGAATGTTTAAATTTACTAGAATTTGGAAAAGGATTGTAATTTATACTAGTCATTTGGCTTATGCCCCATAATGAAAGTCTTAGAGGAATCACACAGTGGTAAAAGTGCACGGACAGCACATATTTGGAGGCTGGAACCTCACTCCATCTTCTGAGTGAGTGAAGGATTGCTGCTGGGTCATGGGGGCCGAGGCCCCAAAGTAAACACAGGTGTTGAGGAGGCAAGTGACTGGGGTTACCCCATCCAGTAGCAAAAGCAACACACACAGTCACGGAGAGTGAATAATACTTCAGCAAAACATATGGACCGCTGCAAGTTTGAGTTTCCCGTCAATTAACAAATTTCTTATCAAGCCTCATTTAGGAGGGATAACAAGAATTTCACTATTAAATGACGGTTATTAGTGGCTAATGACTAGGTATTAGGCTAACTGTGATCTAGCCATGTGTTTTAAGTGTCTTGTTTTTGGATTGTGGTCAAGGCAGGTGGGCCCAGGAATTAGTAGAAAAAAGTGAAGGCATGTGAACAATCATCTGGCTTGCTGAAAAAAGTCTAAGAGCATCTGTCCTATATGAAATTACTTTTACAGAAGTATGTGTGCTGTTGTGCCAGTTAAAATAGGGAAACACTACAAAACAACTTAAATCTAAATTTAGAAGCTCTGTGAGTGTCAGTATATGAGATTCTTGGATATTTTAGCTTTCCTAACTCTGAAATTCAATATCTTTTGAGACCATCCTCATCAGAAAGACAACACTATTGGTTGTCTGTACAGATGCTTTAGATAACCTAGGCTATGTTTCAGTTTTCCTGACAAGCGACCTCTTGTCGTCGTGTGAACAGAAAAACTGAATTGGTAATTTTTTATGAAAAAGGTGCTGATTTTAACATGAGCAGCAGACATTAGTTGGAAAGGTGGACTTAACATGACTTCCACAAGGAAACAGCCCTGCCTTAAAACAAAGCAGGGGGATGTGCTAGTGAGAGACATGTCGTTTAAGGTACCAGTGAGACGCTGAAAAACAATCCAGGAAGTCCAGTTGGAATGAAAAAAATGCAGTTCAAGGCCTACAAGATGCCAAAGCATTAGAGTTTGAAATACTCACAGACAGGACTTTATAACTCTGGAAAGATTAATGAAGTAAGCAGTAGAAATACAGCATTCATGTTACAAAATAATGTAGCTCTGCAGCAAAAGTTGAGCCAGGTTACATTTTTTTGACGGACTGGATCCATTCAAATGAAACAGGGCTCAAGTTGGTCTGAATGTGGCCTTATGAAGGAGGTTATTAGCATGGATAGGCATAAAAAAAAATCATATGACCTCAAATCTAGAGACCAAGCATCTAGCTAATAACATTGGTTTCTTTTAAACTTTTTAACTTTTTCAACCATGATGATTTCTTAAAATAAATTAAACCTTAATCATAAATTGCTGATTTTTTAAAATACAATCAGTTGTGAGGGACTTAAGGAGCACTGTGTAAATATAGCAACCCTAAAGTATTAGGTATTATAAAATAAAATAAAATAAAATAAAAGGTCAGAACCCAGCTGTAGAAAAAGATGCTCAGAGCTCAATACCTTGTTACAATAATAATATAATGGTAAATCAGATGCACCCTCCAGTCAAGGCCGGTAAGAACTGCAACAGTGCTTGCCATCAACTTAGCAGTCCTTCTCAGAAATGATTTCATAAATTTAGTATCCATGGCATGAGTCTCAGAACCAGAAACTGAATTCAAAATCAATGTGCCTCCTGGATGTCAGGAACCTCCTATTCACTGTGTTATAAACTAGGGAGTAACACTCTGTCCACCTCTGTTGGGGGTGAACAGCTGTTGCTGCACAGCAAAAATCCTCCAAGTGTGTTTACACATGTATAAACATAGCATGACAGTGAAATGTACTCAGCCATACCCAAACCCAGGGGCCTTCTTCCTGGGCCTCCTAAACTGAAGTTTTAAACTATTTATTCTCAGTAATATCTACATTAATCCTATCATACATGTTCTGGATTTTAATGTTTCCTAAAATGTTTTAGCTTTGATATTCTATTGTGTAGATTTAGGTGTATAAAAATGAGCAAAAGTTCGACAATCCTTAAAACTGTAAAAAGACACTTTACAGAATTGCTTTCAGGAATTGATAATCAGAACCAGAATAGTTTCTTAACAATTGTCCAGATCAGACCGGTTCCAGTTCAAAACCAGTTTTTGATACCTAATCTGACCAAGGTTGTCACCTAACCTTTTCATGTGATATGTAGAAATGGTATGTCCACGTGATGGTTTTAACTCACGCTGTACTACAGTTTATGTAACTGTAACATGATGCTTTTGAAGTGAAGGATATGTAATATTTACTTACTGTAGTTTGCTTCCAGAACATCAAATCTGAGTGTGAGCGTGTGCTGATATCACAAAGTTTAAACGTCTACATGTTCCCTCTTGCTCGCACTTTCACTGTTTCAGAGGTACCTGTTGTTCATGTGTTTACTGCTGAATATATTCACATCTGTGAATTTGTGTTAAGTGTCACTGACCAACAACAATGATTCATCTATTTGCTGGATTCAAAGACAATTTTGTTATTTGTTTGCACAGCGAAAGGAAGAGCTGAAAGGAGGAACTATACTTACTGAATAGAATGGTTAAGAAATTCAATATAGTGTGGCACAATGCCCCAAGCCCCACCTTATGCGCAATTTCATCACCCTTGTCAAACAAATTTGATCTGTATCAGGTTGTATCCTCTTTCACACATGCAAAGATTTGTAACAGCAAGTAGTTCCCAGCATATTTAATGGAGTATCATTAAAAAGTTCTTTGAGGAATGGGGGGCAAGCATTCCTTCCTAATTTGTAGCCTTCATTTTGCAAATAAATATTCAGCAACTGGACAAATGGTGTTCTCCGAGAGATTTTCATTTCATGACGGGCAACAGATGTTGTGCTTTGAAATAATTTCTTCTCTTATTCTCTAGGCAGATTAACAGATTGAATGTTTCATTAGCCTGCAGCTTTTGACGGTATGGCAGATGGGAACTTTCAGTAATACAGTGATTTCTTAAGAAACAACACTGGTAAGAAACTGTACCAGAATATT